GTAGCGCGAAAGCTGCGAAACAAGGAGGTGAGAGAAGCGACGAATATATGCTCTCTGCTTGGTGTGGAAGAGCTGGGAGAGTTTATGAGCGACGAGCGCAAGAGCATCGATGGCTTTGTACGCCAGCAAGCGCAGCGAGTGTGCTTAGTATTAGATGGTCTTGATGAGATCCGCCTTAGTGAGTGTAGTGGCTTTGTTCGTGACATCATCAACGGGTCGAATGTGAAGGGGCTTCGTCTGGTAGTGACGTCACGGCCGTGCGTTGAGGTACTGAGCCTGTGTGATCAAAAGCAGTTTGATCGGCGTGTGGAACTTGTGGGTTTCCGGCAAGAGGATGTAGAGGAGTACATCGGAAGGGTGCTGAGATCAGCGGAAGAAGCATCGGCACTGGTAACGGCAGTACGGCGTGACCAGAACCTTGCTAGTATGATGGCTACACCATTCCTGGCCATGCAGACGTGCAAGATCTTCCACTGTCGCATGCGCACGCTGCCCCGTTGTCTCTCGGATATCTTTGAGATGATGACCATCCAAGTAGCGGAGTGTCACACTGGTGAGTCGTACAAGAATTGGAATGCCATCCCCGCTCGTGTGCGGTCCCTCATCCTGGATCTCGGAATGTTCTCTTTCAGCATGCTGAAGAAACAGCAGCTGATATTCACTGATGCTGACCTGGAGGCACGTTCGATTGCCAGGGAAGCAAAGTCACTGGGCCTTCTTGTACTTGCCGACAACAGCAGCAGGGATAAGAACCGGTTATGGATGTTCAGCCATCTGACATTACAAGAGTCTCTGGCTGCTCGCTACGTGGCTGTACACAAGACAACAACATTGGCACATGTTGTTCGCCTGGTTGAGTCACTGGGACCCAAAACCAGACACTTACGCACGTTCTGGATGCTGCTGACGGCTCAGCTGGATGCGGAGAAGGCTGACTGCTTGATCAACGGTCTACTTACGCGGGTAAAGTCAGAAGAGAGAGAAGGGCAAAACTGGGATGGTGACAGTGAAGGTTTGACCGACACGGCGGCATTGGAAACGTTCCCACTGGATATGCTTGAGCCCCTTAGCGCCGGATTAAACTATGAGGAAATACATCGCCTATCGGAAGAGTTGCTATCCGACCAAATCGATGGACGAAGCGGCAAACAGTACGTCGAGAATCGCAGTCAATACGGGCGATCGTCTACAGGTGAGGAATTCCTGAGTACAATGTTGCTGGCTTGGGTGGAACGCTGCCCGGCCGGAACGCCTGCTACACTGGCTACTGCTCTCCGACGCATGGGTAAAAAGGTACTCGCACAGTCTATTACTGCTAACAAGCCGGATAAGCCACTGCTACTGAACAGTCCCTCCCACAACGACATAACCGCGAAGGATAAAGAAAACCGGGACCTCGCCTTGCTGTGCTATGCTGAGTATTCTCATCATCATGGCAACGACACCCATCCCATGTCCAGTATTGCTGCTGCGTTGCAGTGCATGGAAGTACGGATCAGTGATACCTACCATCCTGCAGTGTTGCGTGCCTATGATGTAGCCATCAATGTCCACCACACCAGTGTGAGGACTGTGGAGATACACGCCCTGCAGCCCGGCCGCCCAGTGTCACTGCCAGCATCGTTACTCAAGTGTAGCAACATCACCAATCTCCGTATCCATCACTGTAGCTGGCAGTGGCAGGAGATCACCGCTGTTATAAAGTCATCACACCTACACCTGGAGAGTATCGTGTCGGACGACTGTAGTTTCAGTGATTCTTCCAATAGCAGTGTAGCATCACACCCAGTCCACACCAAGCCAGCACAGGCTACAAGCAGTGGAGAGGTAACAACGTCAGAACAGGTCACCAGCATCCCCGCACTGCTCCTGGCCGACGCACTTGCCGACGTTCCCCGCCTCCAGGTTTTCTTCCTGGACGGCTATCACAGTATTGACGAAGAGGGTCTGCGCATGATCTGCACAGCACTGCATAGTGCATCTCGTCTGTCTAAATTACACATTTATCAGTTACACTCGGTACACTGCATCAACGTCCTGACAGAAAACCTGCACACTGCCTGGCCATGCTTGACGGAGCTGGACATTGGTGATGAGTTTGTGCCACTACAGCAGGTTAGCCTAACCGACGATGACGTCACTGCATTCCTGCGTGCCATCAACAGCCATACCTCACTGCAGGTACTAACAATCAGGGCCAGCCATACTGAAGTGGCACCCGTGGACGCCTGCAAACGTCTCTTCAGCAGCAGTTCCTATAGATCTTCCTTGGACACGGATCTCCGCCTAAAACAGCGACAGTAGTACGGCAGCTATCTTGCCAGTACCGTCATCTAATGATGCATAACTAGACACATAGTCGGTAGTAATTCCACATTATCCTGAAACAGTCTACTAGTATGCAGTGACAGATTATGTAAGAGAAGAAAACAATTTAAAACTGTACCAATACAGATTGTGTACCACTAGCAGTACCAGTAGGCCTCGACTGTGTATTCTCTAGGCTTACAGTACATACACAGGTTTACTGTTAGATAACCCTAAGGCTTTCCGGGACATTTAGTCACCACGTCATTGTGGTGGTATTTCTGCTCTCCAACCCCCTCCCCCCCCCCCCCCCGCCCTCTCTCGTTACCCGCTAAGTGTTTTATCCGAATCCCTCGCCATCCGGAAGAAAATAGCTGGTCACATTTTTACAGCATATGTGATGCATCCAACATAATCAGTGTTCGGTTATCCGGTTCCCTCGCCTATCCGGATATTTTTGTGGAAAACGGATGTGTGCGATTAAACGAGTTCTGACTGTACCATGCTTTTCCACCCACCCTGAACTCCATTCTGCTATCCTCAATCCACATCCTGCTGCCTACTCGCATCATTATAAATTCTTCTCCACTCGTTTCCAACATAGAACATAGAACAAACGTGTACTTTGGTATCAATGTACACATGTACACGTGCCTGCCATCATCATTATACATAACACTTATACTTTGTCGTCCACTCGGTCAGTTGACTGACGTGTAACCATAGAGACATCATTCATATTCCTGCATAGCCAGGTACCCAGTCTAGTCGCTTTGTAGATCTCCGTCTCACAATCCAGGCTAAACAAGAATATCTACATGATAGGTTTACCATCGAACTATTTACGTACATGTATACAATCATCCCCCCCCCCCCTCCCCACACCTCCCCCTCCCCCCTCCCCACACCTCCCCCTCTCCACACCTCCCCCCTCCCCACACCTTCCCCTCTCCCCCTTCCCCCCCTTCCCCCCCCTCCCCACACCTCCCCCTTCCCCCCCCTCCCCACAAATCCCCCTCCCCCCTCCCCACACCTCCACTGCTTGTTGTTGTTTATTAATTACTTCGCAGATTCTAACGGGCAAGTTACCCAATAACAAGAAAGCGAAGCTGCTCTTATGCTGTATACAGTCATCCACACAGCCCCCCCCCCCCCCCCCACACACACACCTCCACTGCTGCTCTTTACTCTATATGTACAATCATCCACACTGCCCCCCCCCCCCCCCCCACACACACACACTCACACCTCCACTGCTGCTGCTCTTAGCTAGTATGCTGTTGACAGATACACGTAGTAGTGTAGATATTTGTAATAATTATTCACAATGCACATATCCTTCAGGTCATTGAGCTATGATGATTGTGTGTATGGGTATTCTATGGACTGTGTGTTATGTTGGCACGTGTCGGGACGGTGTGACCGGCCCATCAAGATTCTTTGTCCTTGGGCGGGGAGACCAGCATTGTTGAACTGTGGCTTTATCCTCGAATTTAGTGTGATAGCCCAGGCCCGTTCAAATACTGTATAGCAGGAAATTTTCGGACGGAATTTATTTTCGTACGATTTCGTACACGGCCTCTTTTGTACTAAAATTAATTCCGTACTAAAATTTGTTCATGTGAAATTATGTACACTATACATGGGTACTGCTTGCGAACACGTGCATTTAGCATTCAGCACTGTACGAAAATAAAACCCGGACGAAAGGTCGAAATTCGGCTTTGTCCGAAAATATTTCCGTCCGAAAATTTCCTGCTATACAGTACGCGGCATGTAAATGGCCTGTTGATGTTCTGCATCATAATGATTGGGAGTGCATGCTGTGCCGTGGTGGAATAATTTCATGTTGGTTGTCCCATATGATTGTACTTGGCATGTACTAGTGTGATGTAGTGTATTTCACTGATCTTTCAAGTAGAGAGAAAGTGTACAAATCTCAGTCAGGTGATTTGGACCATGGCATGTTGCCCATTGTTATCACAATTAGTAACACACTTCATTGCGTGTGTGTACTTGTGTAGGGGGAAGGGGAAGGGGGGTGCATGATTTCGTGTGTATGTGTGTGTGCCTATAGTTTACCGAATGGGGGGGGGGGGGGGTGCATGGTGTGTGCGTGTGTGTAGTTTACTTACCGTAAAGTGGCGGATAAAAGCCTTAAGGCTTATAAGCACATAAGCCGCTTTCTGCATCAGGCTTTAATGCAAACCATGCTTTGTATACACCACTGATATTTTTGCCAGGCTTCTACGGGCGACACGCGTAGATCTACCACTGACTACCGGTATGGCGGCAGTTTTACTATGCACCGTACATAGCGCATGCACTCTTGACCCACCCGATCCGCGCTTGCATAGACGCCGGGCTTCTACGCGCGACAGGCGTATGCATTTGACCCGTTTGATTTTCAGGCTTCTATCCGCGATGTGCTTGTATGCGAACCCGGCTTTTATCCGCGACTTTACGGTAATTAATGTCGGTTACATTCTATCCAGTGAGGGTGGTGGCATACCTAGGATGCCCTTGAACAGTGACCTGTTTCTGAGATTCCATACAAAATTGTTGTCAAAGTCCAGCACTACATACATGTAATACCAGTGTAAGTCCATAGAGTATGCAGTGAAAATAATTGACACAGTCCCACTATACTGCAATGTGAACCATCTGTCCAGTCAAGTGAGGATGTGTTGCTTCTCAGGTTCATACTAGACTGCATGTCAAATTAGTGGAAGGTACTGGAAAGGTTGTCATGGTGATTGTAAAATCACCACGTTACACAATCCACTTCTCTGGCCTACATTCCTGATACGGTCAGACCTCGCTTATCCGGTCCTCTTTTATCCGGATCCCTCGCCATCCGGAAGAAAATCGTTGGTTACCGATTTAGAGCATATGCCATGCATACATTCAGTATGTGTGTGTTTGATTATCCGCTTCCCTCGCCTATGCGGATATCTTTGTGCAAAACGTACATGTAGGTGTGCAGTTATGCGAGGTCTGGCTGTAGCGGGTAACAATGAACTGTGTGTGATTGCGCTGGACTTTCCCTTCCCATCAACACCTTGCTAAAGTATGTTTACAATGATCATACTGAAGTACCATTACAATACAGAATCAGAGAGACCCACACCATGGTGCAAGCGCGTTTCATTCACGGATACAATTTTACTGGAATTCGGAGCAGTGATGGGATATGCGACAGCATTTGGCCGTATTTTCCCTAACAAAAGCCCAGGTCTCCAATAATGACCAGGGGTGAGGGTGGTTTGAAATAATAGCACAGTATTTGTCGGAGTATAGTGCGCACCTTTGTATAACGCGCACCCCCAATCTTCATTGGGGGTGCGCACTTCAATCTGCATTGAAGTACATGCATTTCATATTCGGAGCATAGTGCGCACCTGCAATTTAGGGCCTAAAATAGCACATCTAAAGTGCGCACTATACTCCGGAAAATACGGCAGTGTATTGGCATCGGAAATATCGTTGACCGGATTGTCTAGGTAAGCCAGCAGACAAGCAGCGGCACCCTCCCCCCCCCCCCCCCACACACGCACTCTGAATAAGCCCCCGGCCAAACACGCACTCTGAAACAAGGCACATGACCCCGCCCCCGCACCGTTCAACAGCTTGCAAGACACACACACACACACGCATACACAACCAAGCATGAGTACTTCGAAGTAGAAAAGCAAAATTCTGGATCACACGATACAAGAACGATGTCAGAATGTGCCACCAACACATAAGATTGTAGCCATGTAAGAAACAAATAACGCGCGTGTGTGTGTGTGTGTGTGTGCGTGTGTGTGTGTGTGTGTGTGTTCTAACTACAGTGTTAACAGCAGTGACAATTGTTTGCCAGATTGACACCATCCATGATATCATGACAAAATTTATGATTATTATCATCCATGATATGAAAAGTATAATATCATGAGGCCGCAGTAACAAGCAGTCGACATGCACAACAAGAAGACAAGTCAATACTTTATACAATCAAATACATGATTGACCGGTGAAAGTCTGATTATACCTACCTACTGTGGAGGTGATGGCATAGCAGCAGGAAAACTTGAGCTATACGCTCGTGGAGCGTTGAGGTGAACAGTTCAGCATGTCACACTGAGGTATGCCGACGGCATTATTGCCTTGCACCAGCATTTCCTAGCAACAGAGATTATAACCTTGTACAGGCATTTGCTAGCAACAGAGATTATAGCCTTGTACAGGCATTTGCTAATAACAGAGATTATAGCCGTGTACAGGCATTCCTAGCAAAAGAGATTATGGCCGTGTACAGGCATTTGCTAGTACCAGAGATCATGCAGCAACAAGGTTATAGCCTTTATAGCCTTGAACGGTCACTTCCGAGCAATAGGTGAGAAAGTTCTGACGTCCGGGGTAAGCAGAAAACTTGCGTGAAGTGCCTCATAAGAGATATCGTGGACGGCTACCGGTACCTAGCAGTCTCTGATGCATAATCCACAATTCACCGACCTGGCGTGAACACGCACACCAGCATTACTCTGCGGAGTGACTATTAAAACAATATCTGTGCTGTATGATCAGCATGTGAAAGAATGAGACACGATAACATGTCCCACAGCAGAACATGCACAGGAAATTGATAGGTTTCGATAAGGCAACCAGTACGCTGATCTAGTCAGTGGTATCGTGGGGGAATCGCAATCAACAAATGCCGGTTTGCAGCAAAATCAGACGACTACATAGGGTGGATACGACAAGGATAACTTTGGTCAAGATGTTGCTGGTGCTGCTGGGGCTGCCGACTGCGAAGTCTGCAGGTGATGGTAGTTTGGCAATATTTTCGTTAGGAAGTCCAGCTGTAATGTCGGTGCCTGTGAGTTGGACACGGTGGGAGAGAGAGAGAGAGAGAGAGAGAGAGAGAGAGAGAGAGAGCATCAACCTGAAGATAAGTGGTGCTAGAGTGTTAAAATTGTGAAAAAAAGGATATATTCTGCGCACCGAATAGCTACGTCCTTTGGGGATAACGGAGAGCAGAGCATACACCGCGGAAAACTCAAAGTCGAGACCAATCGTACATTTAAAAAAATGTCACGGTTCGCGTGAGACTCGGTTTATCTATTATAGAGGCCGAGTTTTCCGCATCCGTAGGAACGCCACTACCCTTCAAGGCGCAGACGCAGCTCCTAAAGCGGTGGGAGGTGAGTAGATCAGCTCACCAGCATGTGGTCAAAGACCGAAAACCCCATTCACTGCATCCATGTTTTCCTCGTGCCAGGCCACGAGTTCCCAATAATCGTCCATGACCAGATGCAAATTTCAAGCACTTTCAAGGCATTCAAGGCCCTGTCCAAATCATGTGACCGTAGAGCTAAGCACAGCTAAAGTAAGAAAGGCACAACCAACAGTAATTTATTACTGCTAGAAAGGAGGTAGCAAACAATAATGTGTTTTTCTTTACCTCAATCTCCTGCATGCAAGTACAAATAAGAACTGGCTCAAGAGGACACGGAGGGGTATGTGCGACACACATACCCCCCCCCCCCCCCCACACACACAACTTACCGTGGGTTTATCACCTTGCACTCGACGCAGATTGCCCTCGCCAAACACTACCGTATTCTCAGGCAGTGTCTCTTGACTGGTCAGATGACAGCATGCTCCCAGAACACAACCACTGGTCATGGCTGACTTCACACCAATATGACCTAGTAAACAAATGACACATGATACCGACATACAGACAGACGGACAGACCGACACACAGACACATATAAACACACAGACACACACACACACACCACAGCACACAGACCTTGACCAATGCACATTCTAACAGTCGGGTATGATGGCAACACACCCAGAAACTGAGCCACTATATGGCATAGTGCAGACACCAGCCACACGGGTACACACGGATGGGCACACACACACACACACGCACACGGTCCCGGTAAACACCACCATTGCGGTCACGTGTCCCCTTGTGGGGCCGACAACATGGAAAGACGAGCGATGGCAGTCAGCTGAGAGAGAGAGAGGTCAGGGACTCAGGAACCATGTTCGAGAGAGCCATCTCCGGCAGCAACACACACACACACACACACACGCTCGCGCAAGGACACAGACGTGGATGCCCGCGCATGCGCACGTATACGTACACACACACTCACACGCAGGCATGAGCAAATGTGCCTTGGTAATCTACTCACATTTCGACTCTAGCGTGTTGTTATCTCCAATGTGTAATGATTCACAACCTGACCAACAGCAACAAGTTAAGGTAATTGTATCGAGCACATACGGAGATGAAAATGAATCCATCTCCACAGCGCCTCCAGTTACTAGTACGTACAAATATTCTACGGATCTCGGCATAATTTTCATCACACACACACACACCCCGACAATACTAGATCTCATCGATGTTGCCGTTAAAAGAAATGATGAACCATGTTCTCAGACACACACTCTACCATGCATACAAACACAATCTACCATGCATTCAAACACACTCTACCATGCATTCAAACACAATCTACCATGTATTCAAACACACTCTACCATGCATTCAAACACACTCTACCATGCATTCAAACACACTCTACCATGCATTCAAACACACTCTACCATGCATTCAAACACACACTACCATGCATTCAAACACACTCTACCATGCATTCAAACACACTCTACCATGCATTCAAACACACTCTACCATGCATTCAAACACACTCTACTATGTATTCAAACACACTCTACCATGCATTCAAACACACTCTACCATGCATTCAAACACACTCTACCATGCATTCAAACACACTCTACCATGCATTCAAACACACTCTACCATGCATTCAAACACACTCTACCATGCATTCAAACACACTCTACCATGCATTCAAACACACTCTACCATGCATTCAAACACAATCTACCATGCCTTCAAACACACTCTACCATGCATTCAAACACAATCTACCATGCCTTCAAACACACTCTACCATGTATTCAAACACACTCTACCATGCATTCAAACACACTCTACCATGCATTCAAACACACTCTACCATGCATTCAAACACACTCTACCATGCATTCAAACACACTCTACCATGCATGCAAACACACTCTACCATGCATTCAAACACACTCTACCATGCATTCAAGTAAACAAATTGATGGCTTCGCGTACCGAGCGGGTCAAGAACAAGGAGTCGTACAACGCCCTGGTCAAGAACCACCTTTCTGCTTCCGTGGGATGCCACCACCCCATGATCAGGCGTCAGATGCGACTCCTAAAAATTCAAACACATTGTAAATTTGCACTGGGTGACTTCTGACCCAAGTAAATTATAAAGGTTACTCCAGGGAGTCGTAAAATACCGGTATTTTACGACTCCCTGGTTTACTCCCTGGACCAGTTCCGATGACATCACTGTGTATTTATACAGTCATGCATATGCATGCCTAGCGGCATTCACACCACTTCCAGGGCGTCACAGGCCATGCACCACTTCCAGGGCGTCACAGGCCATGGAAGTCCGGATTTCACCTAGCATAGTGGTACAAACATTGTGTGCGTCTGCATATCCAAGGGATTGTCAATTTACTCGGATAGCATCACCAGTGTCTTCAAGGAGCACCTTAGACGGCGCAACGTTCGTGACGACGTAATAACGTCTCATTTCACGATGAGCATGGAACGTTACCAACAAATGTATGCATGTCTGTGGCCTCATTGCTCCAAGGACAGGCATCGGCGAAAGCCAGCTGGTTTTGAGACGTAGAACAAATTTAGTGAATCGGGCGGTTCCCAGTACTTTGCACTCCACAGTATGTTATGCCTAAGATATTGTACTGTGGAGTTAACACTGATTTGTGTTAAAAGAGAAGAAACACATGAAAACGAGTCATGCAGCAACTATCCACGACTGTAACAAGATGATAAACAGTCAGAAAGTGCGATAATAGGGCACAAAACTGACAGGCTACTGAGACATTCAGCGACCCAAGACCTAGCTCTAACACATATGTTTCTTCTCTTTTTTTACATAATGGCTCAGTATCCGAATGATTTGGGTTAATGTAAAATATACCCAACAAAAACATAGGAAAGTGGGATGAGAGGATACGGCAACCCACTTCAAACACATTGCTGCTGCCAATTTCCATGGTGAGCTTGTCTTTCGGCGCAGTCTCTCCTTCAGCAACTGGTTGTGGGCTGAAGACACAGGCAGAGAAAGTGAATGAAAGACCGTCAAAAAGGGAGAAAGCGGGATATAAATGAGGAAAAGAAACCAACAGAGTATTGTGTACCTTCAAGTAGTCGAGCCTGATGGCAACATACCTACTCACTATTTGCTATGAGCACAGCCACACACACACACACACACACACACACACACACACACACACACACACACACACACACACACACACACACACACACACACACACACACACATGTACAGCTCCCCCCCCCCCCCACACACACGGTGGTCGGAATTCGCAGAAGGAACAGTGCACCCACCGGTTATGGATGACGACTTGCTCCTCGATGATATTATTGTTGCCGATGACAATAGGTCCGGCCTCCGCATGTATGAGTGCTTTGGGATGTACGACGGTACCGGTTCCTATCGTCACATCACCTTTCAGGATGGCTTCTTTACAAACTACTGCACCTTTGGCAATTGTAGCATTCCTGAAAAACAGCCATAGAGACACACAGGCACACAGCGAGAGAGAGAGAGAGAGAGAGAGAGAGAGAGAGAGAGAGAGAGAGAGAGAGAGAGAGAGAGAGAGAGAGAGAGAGAGAGAGAGAGAGAGAGATTCATGTGTTTTCAAAAAGCACACAAATGGGCTACTTTACACAAACACCGAAAACTGGTAACATATCTCTTTGTACAAGTACATGTATGTAGATGCAAAAACAAGGCAGGGAAACCCTCATGGCACAGGCCTCAAACATGCACAGGTTGTGCTTCGAGAGCTCTGGGACCACTCCATCTCAGTGGTCCGTCTCCAGCAGATATATGCGATTACACGCCCACGGCATGGCACCATGCATAAAACCAACAGTACACCCCCCCCCCCCCCCAACAGTACATACCCCCACCCATGCATAAAACCAACAGTTCATACCCCCACCCATGCATAAAACCAACAGTACATACCCCCACCCCCATGCATAAAACCAACAGTACATACCCCCACCCATGCATAAAACCAACAGTACACACTCCCACCCATGCATAAAACCAACAGTACATACCCCCACCCATGCATAAAACCAACAGTACATACCCCCACCCATGCATAAAACCAACAGTACACACCCCCACCCATGCATAAAACCAACAGTACATACCCCCCACCCATGCATAAAACCAACAGTACACCCCCCCCAACCATGCATAAAACCAACAGTACACACCCCCACCATGCATAAAACCAACAGTACATACCCCCACCATGCATAAAACCAACAGTACACACCCCCACCCATGCATAAAACCAACAGTACACACCCCCACCCATGCATAAAACCAACAGTACATACCCCCACCCATGCATAAAACCAACAGTACACACCCCCAACCATGCATAAAACCAACAGTACATACCCCCACCATGCAAAAACCAACAGTACACCATCGAAGAACTTATTGCCTAGCATATGTTTCAAGAGGCGCTTTGCAACTAAGGTGAAAAAGATCTTCCCGGACGTGTTTGCTACAGCAATCGGTCGGAATTTCGAAGGAACATCAGACACCTCCCCCTTGGCCAGGAGTGTGATACACGCTACCTGCCACTGCCTTGGAATGATCTTGCTCTCCCAAACCCGCCCAAAGATGGTGAAAGAATGGATTGAAGGGAGGGACAAAGCTTCCAAACTATGTAAGGTATCTTGTCAGGAATTTGCATCCCACATGAAATCGCGAAAATATGCGCACACAACGCCCACACACGCCCAAACACGCACACGTACGCACACACACACACACGTGCGCACATACACGCCATGTACCATGTATACGCCCGTCGCAAGAGAAGCACGCAAATCGACAAATGCACTGGATGTGCGCCCACAGATTTTCTCTTTATAGCAATGATGGCGGATCTGATTCTGAATGAAACAGATCAAGACAAACGCCAGACAACTGTCTAATCCACACAACTGACGAAGCCATGTGAATCGACCACCAATGCACACCTGGTCTACACCACATGGAGTACATCTGCATAAACCGGCCAAGACAGTTACCTATGCACACCCTACACTTGCTGGGGTAAGCAGTATAGACAGTACGCTGCTTTAGAAACAGACACTAGATGCACAGGTACCTTGAAGTGAAATTAGAGTTACACACGCACACACACACACACACACACACACACACACACACACACAAACACCAGGGCCGGAGGCAGCTCCCATGGAGCGGTGCGACCAAGTGCCTTCCTGAAGGGGGTGTGGGGTCCTCCCCCAGAAAATTCTAGGAATTTAGAAGGCAAATCGTGCTCTCTGGGCACATTTCGGTGTATCTTCTAGCCCCTGGGTAGATCTACAACTTGCAAGTCTGATATTCCAATGCAGAATACACTAGTTTCAGACTGTGCATCTATGATAGTTCACTGTACGTAGAGTGTTGCTGATGAAAGGGTACTAGAAGTCAGTATTTTACGACTCCCCAGTGTACAAAATCATACATCGAAACTTTTCCTCCCCGGTTTTGGACGTTCCAAGTGGACCGGCGTTTTGAGAAATTGGTAACACCATGGCCGCACCAGTGGCACCGACCCTTTACGCCCCCCCCCCCCCCACACACACACACCACACACACACACACACACACACACACACACACGCACACACACACCACACACACACACCACACACACACACACACACAGTCACGCGGATTCAACAGACTGTGGTTGTCCCCTGCATGATGCTACGCCAGACACATTACGTTACTTAGTATTTACAAACACGTTTAGAAAAAGAGAAAAAATCATCTCCCGCGTAAACCTTATCTCATTCAATTCCAACAATTAAAACTAACTTGCCTTATAAAATTTTAATTTAATACTATCCGCTGATCTGCTACGCACATCTCTCAACTCCATTGTGGGACACTAGTACGCCAGCATCAGTGACAAGTGATTAGCGTGGCACTTGCGTAACCCATCAGTACGCAGAGCTCCCAGCAGTGCGTGCATACATGTAGCAGCGGTTGTATTGCAGTTCCAATCATTCAGTTCATGTTTACAACATTTGAGCGCCTCCATCGTCAACAATTATTTACAATCACAAAGGACGAAACAGTAATTCTGTCCGCAGATTGAGTGTAATTAAATTTACACAATAATGAATTATTTTTCTATTCATGAGGATCCATATCGGCATGCCTTCCGCGCTAGCCTATAGCTATAGGCCATAGCTCGAACCGGCCAGGGAGTCGTAAAAATTAATAGTATTAATTTTTACGACTCCCTGGCTCGAACACAGCCAAAGTTAGTCTGGCCCAGTCACCATGGTCACGTCAAGACTCAAGACATTACTGTGTGCAAGTACAAAACTGCTTCAGACATTGTATTTGATCAACAACAAAGTGAAGTCGCTCGCCGACCAGATCAGACACTCGCTTTGAGTTTTCAAATTTGACTGCATTTGGTTGTCATGTGCGTACTCTACGCAACTCAGAATCGGCCCGAGACGAAAGGTGAGCAGTTCAAGTGACCGACGAAGCTGAACTAAAATTGCCTCTCGCGGAGCTCCTTCCCCGATCTAGACGGGCCAACAACTACCATTCGACTCCACAACAGGTACTCTCTCCACCTGTACAGTTCGATTTTACTCGGATTCTAGTGGCAGACCACTTTCAGATTTAGACACTTTTTTTTGTCCTGGATCCCCGACTATTGTAGTCTATACAGTGGTGAAGTAAAAAGAAGAAAAAAGAAGGCAGTAAAACAGACATGGGCTGATTGTTGCCATTGTTGTGACAAAGCCAGCTTTGAGTTTGAGTGTTACTAGTTACGCGCCAGACAAAGTGCCTTTGACTGTTGTCAAATTGCGAGATATTGAAATAACAGTAGCTGAGTTTGGAATCTACCAGTGTTTCTTCCGCTGAAAACCAGCAGCACACACTAGTATTGGATAGGACGAATAGAAACAAGGTAGTTTTACGATTGTAGGCGTTGGTGTGTGAGCCATTCAGCGTCATGGCGAGCAAAGCGGAGAACAGCAGTCGTAATGACTACGAAGCAAAGTGCTCGAGTCAGGATAGCGGTGAGCCCGCAGCGAACGGGTCTGCCAGCACACAAGCAAGTCTTGCCACTGGTCGAGCAGATCAGGTAAGAAACATACCCGAGGCAGTGTGCAGGTTGAAAGAATTGTTAGTTCAGGAGTATGTAAGCGCTACGGTAGATATGGGAGAAGGCATGGTTGAAGAAGGGCTCAACGAACCCAGCGTTTCAGACGTGCAAGTGAAACTGATCATTTTGTCGAGACCCGAGCTCCGAGATCAGTTCCGTAAGGCGAGTTTTGATTCGATTGGCGACGTGTGGCGTGTGGAACATGTTTTCACACAGGCGGCCAGTAGCTTGAAGAATATCTCACTGGAAAGTCTCTTCGATCTTGATAAAGAGCGGATGGTGGAGTTCTCTAGCGGTGGTCGAACCTATCGCATCTTGGTTGTAGCCAGTGCTGGCTGCGGCAAAACATTCGCCTTGACCAAAGTGGCTCCATTGAAATGGGCCCGGAATGAAATGTGGACGTCGTTTGATCTGGTGGTAGCGCGAAAGCTGCGAAACAAGGAGGTCAGAGAAGCGACGAATATATGCTCTCTGCTTGGTGTGGAAGAGCAGGGAGAGTTTACGAGCGATGAGCGCAAGAGCATCGATGGCTTTGTACGCCAGCAAGCGCAGCGAGTGTGCTTAATATTAGATGGTCTTGACGAGATCCGCCTTAGTGAGTGTAGTGGCTTTGTTCGTGACGTCATCAACGGGTCCAAAGTGAAGGGGCTTCGTCTGGTAGTGACGTCACGGCCGTGCGTTGAGCTACTGAGCCTGTGTGATCAAAAGCAGTTTGATCGGCGAGTGGAACTTGTGGGTTTCCGGCAGGAGGATGTGGAGGAGTACATCGGGAAGGTGCTGAGATCAGCGGAAGAAGCATCGGCACTGGTAACGGCAGTACGGCGTGACCAGAACCTTGCTAGTATGATGGCTACACCATTCCTGGCCATGCAGACGTGCAAGATCTTCCACTGTCGTAAACGCACCCTGCCCCGTTGTCTCTCGGATATCTTTGAGATGATGACTATCCAAGTAGCAGAGCGTCACACCGGTGAGTCGTACAAGAATTGGAATGCGATCCCCGCTCGTGTGCAGTCCCTCATCCTGGATCTCGGAAAGTTCTCTTTCTGCATGCTGAACAAGCACCAGCTGATATTCACTGATGCTGACCTGGAGGCACGATCGATTGCCAGGGAAGCAAAGTCACTGGGCCTTCTTGTACTGGCCGACAGCAGCAGCAGGGATACGGACCGGTTATGGATGTTCAGCCACCGGACATTACAAGAGTCTCTGGCTGCTCGCTATGTGGCTGTACACAAGACAACAACATTGGCACATGTTGTTCGCCTGGTTGAGTCACTGGGACCCCGCACCAGCCACTTACGCACGTTCTGGATGCTGCTGACGGCTCAGCTGAACGCGGAGAAGGCTGACTGCTTGATCAACGGTCTACTTACACGGAAAAAGTCAGGCAAGAGAGACTGGCAAAACTGGGATGGTGACGGTGAAGGTTTGGCTGACACGACGGCACTGAACATGTTCCCACTGGATATGCTCGAGGTCCTTAGCGCCGGATTAAACTACGAGGAAATCCATCGCCTATCGGAAGAGTTGTTATCTGACCAAATCGACGGACGAAGTGGCAAACAGTACGTCGAGAATCGCAGCAAATACGGTCGATCGTCTACGGGTGAGGAATTCCTGAGTACAATGTTGCTGGCTTGGGTGGAACGCTGCCCGGACGCAACGCCTGCTACACTGGCTACTGCTCTCCGACGTATGGGTAAAGAGGTACTCGCACAGTCTCTTACTGCTAACAAGCCAGATAAACCACTGCTACAGAACAGTCCCTTCCACAACGACATAACGGAGGAGCATTGCGGAAACTTGGATCTCGCCTTGCTGTGCTATGCTGAGTATTCTCATCACCATGGCAACGACACCCATCCCATGTCCTGTGTTGCTGCTGCGTTGCAGTGCATGGATGTATTGATCAGTGGTAAATATCATCCTGCAGTGTTGCGTGCCTATGATGTAGCCATCAATGTCCACCACAGCAGTATGAGGACTGTGGGCATATACAACCTGCATCCAGACCTCCCAGTGTCACTGCCAGCATCGTTACTCAAGTGTAGCAACATCACCCGTCTCGATATCTATCACTGTAGCTGGCAGTTGCAGGAGATCCTCTACGTTATCAAGTCATCACACCTACAACTGGAAACGATCTTGGTGGCTGGCTGTGATTTCAGTGATACTTCCAGTAGCAGTGTAGCATCACACCCAGTCCACACCAAGCCAGCACAGGCTACAAGCAGTGGAGAGGTAACAACGTCAGAACAGGTCACCAGCATCCCCGCACTGCTCCTGGCCGACGCACTTGCCGACGTTCCCCGCCTCCAGGTTTTCTTCCTGGGCTGCTGTGACTGTATTGACGAAGAGGGTCTGCGCATGATCTGCACAGCACTGCATAGTGCATCACATCTGTCTAAATTACACATTCAACAGTCACACTGGGCACACTGCATCAACGTCCTGACAGAAAACCTGCACACTGCCTGGCCCTGCATGACAAAGCTAGTAGTCAGTGATCACCGTGAGCCACAACAGCAGGATAGCCTAACCGACGATGACGTCACTGCATTCCTGCATGCCATCAACAGCCATACCTCACTGCAGAAACTAACAATCGTGGCCGATGGTACTGAACAGGCCTCCGTGGACGCCTGCAAACGTCTCTTCAGCAGCAGTTCCTATAGATCTTCCTTGGACACGGATCTCAGCCTAAAACAGTGACAGTAGTACGGCAGCTATCTTGCCAGTACCGTCATCTAATGATGCATAACTAGACACATAGTCGGTAGTAATTCCACATTATCCTGAAACAGTCTACTAGTATGCAGTGACAGATTATGTAAGAGAAGAAAACAATTAAAAACTGTACCAATACAGATTTTGTACCACTAGCAGTACCAGTAGTCCTCGACTGTGTATTCTCTAGGCTTACAGCACATACACAGGTTTACTGTTAGATAACCCTAAGGCTTTCCAGGACATTTAGTCACCACGTCATTGTGGTGGTATTTCTGCTCTCCAACCCCCTTCACCCCCCCCCCCCCCCCTCTCGTTACCCACTAAGTGTTTTATCCGGATCCCTCGCCATCCGGAAGAAAATAGCTGGTTACTTATTTACAGCATACTTGTGGCATCCAACATAATCGGTGTTCGGTTATCCGGTTCCCTCGCCTATCCGGATATCTTTGTGGAAAACGGATGTGTGCGATTAAACGAGTTCTGACTGTACCATGCTTTTCCGCCCACCCTGAACTCCATTCTGCTATCCTCAATCCACATCCTGCTGCCTACTCGCATCATTATAAATTCTTCTCCACTCGTTTCCAACATAGAACATAGAACAAACAGTGTACTTTGGTATCAATGTACACATGTACACGTGACTGCCATCATCATTGTACATGACACTTATACTTTGTCATCCACTCGGTCAGTTGACTGACGTGTAACCATAGAGACATCATTCATATTCCTGCATAGCCAGGTACCCAGTCTAGTCGCTTTGTAGATCTCCGTCTCACAATCCAGGCTAAACAAGAATATCTACATGATAGGTTTACCATCGAACTATTTACGTACATGTATACAATCACCCCCCCCCCTCCCCACACCTCCCCCTCCCCCCCTCCCCACACCTCCCCCTCTCCACACCTCCCCCTTCCCCCCCTCCCCACACCTCCCCCTTCCCCCCCCTCCCCACACCTCCCCCTCCCCCCCCCCGCCCCACACCTCCACTGCTTGTTGTTGTTGTTTATTTAAAATTACTTCGCAGATTCTAACGGGCAAGTTACCCAATAACAAGAAAGCGAAGCTGCTCTTATGCTGTATACAGTAATCCACACAGCCCCCCCCCCCCCCCCACACACACACCTCCACTGCTGCTCTTTACTCTATACAATCATCCACACTGCCCCCCCCCCCCCCCACACACACACTCACACCTCCACTGCTGCCACTCTTAGCTAGTATGCTGTTGACAGATACACGCAGTAGACTGTAGTGTAGATATTTGCCATTCCCACTGCACATGTCCTTCAGGTCATTGAGCTATGAGACTAGCAACTGCTGCTATTCAGACTGTACATTGATAATGTATATGAGTATGCTATGCACTGTGTGTTATGTCGGCGTGTGTCGGGACGGTGTGACCGGCCCATCAAGATTCTTTGTCCTTGGGCGGGGAGACCAGCATTGTTGAACTGTGGCTTTATCCTCGAATTTAGTGTGACAGCCCAGGCCCGTTCAAATACGCGGCACGTAAATGGCCTGTTGATGTTCTGTATCATAACGATTGGGAGTGCATGCTGTGCCGTGGTGGAATAATTTCATGTTGGTTGTCTCAATTCATGTATGTATTTAGCATATTGCTAGTGGGATGTAGTGTATTTCATTGACCTCTCAAGCAGAGAGAACGTGTACAAATCTCAGGCAGGTGATTTGGACCATGGCATGTTGCCCGTTGTTATCACTATTACACACTTCATTGCGTGTGTGTACTTTTGTAGAGGGGGGAAGGGAGAGGGGGGGGGGGGGGTGCATGATTTCGTGTGTGTGTGTGGGGGGGGGGGGGGTTCATGTGTCTCTGTGTGCATGGGTGTGTGCCTATAGTTTACTGAATGGGGGGGGGGGGGAGGCATGTGTGTGCGTGTGTGTAGTTTACTTACCGTAAAGTGGCGGATAAAAGCCTTAAGGCTTATAAGCACATAAGCCGCTTTCTGCATCAGGCTTTAATGCAAACCATGCTGATATGCACCACTGATGTTTTGCCAGGCTTGTATGCCAGGCTTCTACGGGCGACACGCGTAGATCTACCACTGACTACCGGTATGGCGGCAGTTTTACTATGCACCGTACATAGCGCATGCACTCTTGACCCACCCGATCCGCGCTTGCATAGACGCCGGGCTTCTACGCGCGACAGGCGTATGCATTTGACCCGTTTGATTTTCAGGCTTCTATCCGCGATGTGCTTGTATGCGAACCCGGCTTTTATCCGCGACTTTACGGTAATTAATGTCGGTTACATTCTATCCAGTGAGGGTCGTGGCATACCTAGGATGCCCTGGAACAGTGACCTGTTTCTGAGATTGCATAGAAAATTGTTGTCAAAGTCCAGCACTACATACATGTAATACCAGTGTAAGTCCATAGAGTATGCAGTGAAAATAATTGACACAGTCCCACTATACTGCAATGTGAACCATCTGTCCAGTCAAGTGAGGATGTGTTGCTTCTCAGGTTCATACTAGTCTGCATGTCAAATTAGTGGAAGGTACTGGAAAGGTTGTCATGGTGATTGTAAAATCACCGCGTTACACAATCCACTTCTCTGGCCTACATTTCCTGATACGGTCAGACCTCGCTTATCCGGTCCTCTTTTATCCGGATCCCTCGCCATCCGGAAGAAAATCGTTGGTTACCGATTTACAGCATATGCCATGCATACATTCAGTATGTGTGTGTTTGATTATCCGCTTCCCTCGCCTATGCGGATATCTTTGTGCAAAACGTACATGTAGGTGTGCAGTTATGCGAGGTCTGGCTGTAGCGGGTAACAATGAACTGTGTGTGATTGCGCTGGACTTTCCTTTCCCATCAACACCTTGCTAAAGTATGTTTACAACAATGATCATACTGAAGTACCATTACAATACAGAATCAGAGAGACCCACGCTATGGTGCAAACGAGTTTCATTCACGGATACAATTTTACTGGAATTCGGAGCAGTGATGGGATATGCGACAGCATTTGGCCGTATTTTCCCTAACAAAAGCCCAGGTCTCCAATAATGACCAGGGGTGAGGGTGGTTTGAAATAATAACAGCACAGTCTCTAATACCGTATTTGTCGGAGTATAGTGTGCACCTTTGTATAACGCGCACCCCCAATCTTCATTGGGGGTGCGCACTTCAATCTGCATTGAAGTACATGCATTTCATATTCGGAGCATAGTGCGCACCTGCAATTTAGGGCCTAAAATAGCACATCTAAAGTGCGCACTATACTCCGGAAAATACGGTAGTGCATTGGCATCGTAAATATCGTTGACCGGATTGTCTAGGTAAACCAGCAGACAAGCAGCGGCACCCTCCCCCCCCCCCCACACACAGGCTGAAAAAGCCCCCAGCCCTCCTCCCCCCCCCCCCCCCCGGCCAAACACGCACTCTGAAACAAGGCACATGACCCCGCCCCCGCACCGTTCAACAGCTTGCAAGACACACACACACACACACACGCATACACAACCAAGCATGAGTACTTCGAAGTAGAAAAGCAAAATTCTGGATCACACGATACAAGAACGATGTCAGAATGTGCCACCAATACATAAGATTGTAGCCATGTAAGAAACAAATAACGCGTGTGTGTATTCTAACTACAGTGTTAACAGCAACGACAATTGTTTGCCAGATTGACACCATCCATGATATCATGACAAAATTTATGATTATTATCATCCATGATATTATGACAAAATTTATGATTATTATCATCCATGATATGAAAAGTATAATATCATGAGGCCGCAGTAGCAAGAAGTCGACATGCACAACAAGAAGACAAGTCAATACTTTATACAATCAAATACATGATTGACCGGTGAAAGTCTGATTGTACCTACCTACTGTGGAGGTGATGGCATAGCAGCAGGAAAACTTGAGCTATACGCTCGTGGAGCGTTGAGGTGAACAGTTCAGCATGTCAGACTGAGGTATGCCGACGGCATTATTGCCTTGTACAGGCATTTCCTAGCAACAGAGATTATAGCCTTGTACAGGCATTTGCTAGCAACAGAGATTATAGGCTTTATAGCCTTGAACGGGCACTTCCGAGCAATAGCTGAGAAAGTTCTGGCGTCCGGGGTTAGCAGAACACTTGCGCGATGTGCCTCAGAAGAGATATCGTGGACGGCTACCGGTACCTATAGCAGTCTCTAATGCATAATCCACAATTCACCGACCTGGCGTGAACACGCACACCAGCAATACTCTGCGGAGTGACTATTAAAACAATATCTGTGCTGTATGATCAGCATGTGAAAGAATGAGACACGATAACATGTCCCACAGCAGAACATGCAGAGGAAATTGATAGGTTTCGATAAGGCAACCAGTACGCTGATCTAGTCAGTGGTATCGTGGGGGAATCGCAATCAACACATGCTGGTTTGCAGCAAAATCAGACGATTACATAGGGTGGATACGACAAGGATAACTTTGGTCAAGATGTTGCTGGTGCTGCTGGGGCTGCCGACTGCGAAGTCTGCAGGTGATGGTAGTTTGGCAATATCTTCGTTAGGAAGTCCAGCTGTAATGTCGGTGCCTGTGAGTTGGACACGGTGGGAGAGAGAGAGAGAGAGAGAGAGAGAGAGAGAGAGAGAGAGAGAGAGAGAGAGAGAGAGCATCAACCTGAAGATAAGTGGTGCTAGAGTGTTAAAATTGTGAAAAAAGGATATATTCTGCACACCGAATAGCTACGTCCTTTGGGGATAACGGAGAGCAGAGCATACACCGCGGAAAACTCAAAGTCGAGACCAATCGTACATTTAAAAAAATGTCACGGTTCGCGTGAGACTCGGTTTATCTATTATAGAGGCCGAGTTTTCCGCATCCGTAGGAACGCCACTACCCTTCAAGGCGCAGACGCAGCTCCTAAAGCGGTGGGAGGTGAGTAGATCAGCTCACCAGCATGTGGTCAAAGACCGAAAACCCCATTCACTGCATCCATGTTTTCCTCGTGCCAGGCCACGAGTTCCCAATAATCGTCCATGACCAGATACAAATTTCAAGCACTTTCAAGGCATTCAATGTCCTGTCCAGATCATGTGACCGTAGAGCTAAGCACAGCTAGAGTAAGAAAGGCACAACCAACAGTAATTTATTACTGCTAGAGAGGAGGTAGCAAACAATAATGTGTTTTTCTTTACCTCAATCTCCTGCATGCAAGTACAAATAAGAACTGGCTCAAGAGGACACGAAGGGGTATGTGCGACACACATACACCCACACCCACACACAACTTACCGTGGGCTTATCACCTTGCACTCGACGCAGATTGCCCTCGCCAAACACTACCGTATTCTCAGGCAGTGTTTCTTGACTGGTCAGATGACAACATGCTCCCAGAACACAACCACTAGTCATGGCTGACTTCACACCAATATGACCTAGTAAACAAATGACATACACACACACACACATACACACAGACAGACCCACAGACAGACAGACACACCACAGCACACCGATCTTGACCAATGCACATTCTAACTAAACAGTCGGGTATGATGGCAACACACCCAGAAACTGAGCCACTATATGGTGTAGTGCAGACACCAGCCAAACTAGCTGGTACACACGGATGGGCACACTGTACTGTACTTGTACTTGTTGCTCACTACCAAAACTGGTCACGTGAGTCCCCCCGGGAGAGGGGAGAGAGACTCAAAAGGAATCTTGGAAAGATGACTCAATTGGTTATTGAACCGCCCAACGACCGACACCCCCTGAAATCCCCAAAACTCTGGGTGGACTTGAAAATGACCCCACTTATGGGCTCACCACACCTCAGTAAGTGGGTGAGGACAAGGTGCAGAAAAAGGATTGACGGCATCAGGGTATCCGTCCCGGGATCCAACTGCAGTTACCCCTGCCCCCAGTGAAGGTAATACTTGCTACTAGTGTGAGTGGCTAAATCAGAGTGGATCTGATAAAAGCTTCACTAGCACCATTGATTACACAAGAGTTAATCTAGCCAGAAGCAGTCCATGGTTGACAGGTATGTATACTTCAAATAGAAAATATATGAACCCTGGAACCAACAAAGGTGGCAGGTACAACATTACACCTTCAAGCAGCCGAGCCTGTTGGCAACAGACCCATGGGCACACACACACACACACACACACACACACACGGTCCTGGTCCTGGTAAACACTGCTATTGCGGTCACGTGTCCCCTTGTGGGGCCGACAACATGGAAAGACGAGCGACGGCAGTCAGCTGAGAGAGAGGTCAAGGACTCAGGAACCATGTTCGAGAGAGCCATCTCCAGCAGCTACACACACACACACACATGCGCGCGCAAGCAAGGACACAGACGTGGATGCCCGCGCATGCGTACGTATACGTACACACACACTCACACGCAGGCATGAGCAAATGTGCCTTGGTAATCTACTCACATTTCGACTCTAGCGTGTTGTTATCTCCAATGTGTAATGATTCACAACCTGACCAACAGCAACAAGTTAAGGTAATTGAATCGAGCACATACGGAGATGAAAATGAAATCCATCACCACAGCTCCTCCAGTTACGCAGAAATATTCTACGGATCTAGGCATAATTTTCATCACACCCACCCCAACACTAGATCTTGTCGATTTTGTCGTTAAAAGAAATGATGAACCATGTTCTCAGACACACACTCTACCATGCATTCAAACACACTCTACCATGCATTCAAGTAAAAAAATCGATGGCTTCGCGTACTGGGCAGGTCAAGAACAAGGATTCACGGGCCATGCAAGTCAGGATTTCGCCTAGCATAGTTGTACAAACATTGTGTGCGTCTGCATATCCAAGGGATTGTCAATTTACTCGGATAGCATCACCAGTGTCCTCAAGGAGCACCTTAGACGGTGCAACGTTCGTGACGACGTAATAACGTCTGCTATTTCACGAGGAGCATGGAACGTTACCAACGAATGTATTCATGTCTGTGGCCTCATTGCTCCAAGGACAGGCATCGGCGAAAGCCAGCTGGTTTTGAGACGTAGAACAAATTTAGTGATTCGGGCGGTTCCTAGTACTTTGCACTCCACAGTATGTTATGCCTAAGATATTGTACTGTGGAGTTAACACTGATTTGTGTTAATAGAGAAGAAACACATGAAAATGAGTCATGCAGCAACTATCCACGACTGTAACAAGATGATAAACAGTCAGAAAGTGCGATAATAGGGCACAAAACTGACAGGCTACTGAGACATTCAGCGACCCAAGACCTAGCTCTAACACATATGTTTCTTCTCTTTTTTTACATAATGGCTCAGTATCCGAATGATTTGGGTTAATGTAAAATATACCCAACAAAAACATAGGAAAGTGGGATGAGAGGATACGGCAACCCACTTCAAACACATTGCTGCTGCCAATTTCCATGGTGAGCTTGTCTTTCGGCGCAGTCTCTCCTTCAGAAACTGGTTCTGGGCTGAAGACACAGGCAGAGAAAGTGAATGAAAGACCGCCAGAAAGGGAGAAAGCGGGATATAAATGAGGAAACGAAACCAACAGAGTATTGTATACCTTCAAGTAGTCGAGCCGGATGGCAACATACCTACTCACTATTTGCTATAAGCACAGCCACACCAACACACCCACCCCCCCACACACACACACATGTACAGCTCCCCCCCCCCCCCCCACACACACACGGTGGTCAGAATTCGCAGAAGGAAACAGTGCACCCACCGGTTATGGATGACGACTTGCTCCTCGATGATATTGTTGTTGCCGATGACAATAGGTCCGGCTTCCGCATGTATGAGTGCTTTGGGATGTACGACTGTACCGGTTCCTATCGTCACATCACCTTTCAGGATGGCTTCTTTACAAACTACTGCACCTTTGGCAATTGTAGCATTCCTGAAAAACAGCCATAGAGACACACAGGCACACCAAGAGAGAGAGAGAGAGAGAGAGAGAGAGAGAGAGAGAGAGAGAGAGAGAGAGAGAGAGAGAGATTCATGTGTTTTCAAAAAGCACACAAATGGGCTGCTTTACACTAACACCGAAAACTGGTAACATATCTCTTTGTACAAGTACATGTACGTAGACGCAAAAACAAGGCAGGGGAACCCTCATGGCACAGGCCTCCAACATGCACAGTTTGTGCTTCGAGAGCTCTGGGACCACTCCATCTCAGTGGTCCGTCTCCAGCAGATATATGCGATTACACGCCCACGGCATGGCACCCATGCATAAAACCAACAGTACACCCCCCCCCCCCCCCCCCACCGATGCATAAAACCAACAGTACACCCCCCCCCCCCCACCGATGCATAAAACCAACAGTACATACCCCCCATGCATAAAACCAACAGTACACCCCCCCCCCCCAACCATGCATAAAACCAACAGTACATAAACAGTACACCCCCCCCCCCCCCTCCATAAAACCAACAGTACAAACCCCACCCATGCATAAAACCAACAGTACACACCCCCACCCATGCATAAAACCAACAGTACATACCTCCACCCATGCATAAAACCAACAGTACATACCCCCACCCATGCATAAAACCAACAGTACATACCTCCACCCATGCATAAAACCAACAGTACATACCCCCACCATGCATAAAACCAACAGTACACACCCCCACCATGCATAAAACCAACAGTACATACCCCACCATGCATAAAACCAACAGTACACACCCCCACCATGCATAAAACCAACAGTACATACCCCCACCCATTCATAAAACCAACAGTACACACCCCCACCCATGCATAAAACCAACAGTACATACCCCTACCCATGCATAAACCCAACAGTACATACCCCACCATGCATAAAACCAACAGTACCTACCCCCACCCATGCATAAAACCAACAGTACATACCCCCACCCATTCATAAAACCAACAGTACATACCCCACCATGCATAAAACCAACAGTACATACCCCCACCCATGCATAAAACCAACAGTACATGTACATACCCCCACCTCCAAAGAATGTGCAACTCCGCTATGGGTGCTGTCCAGACAGAATATCATAATAATTATGGGCTTTTACCGTATACAGTAGCGCATGCCAAGTGCATTTCCTGCATACTAAAGAGTGCATAACAGGTAAACAGGCATTGGTAGCCTATAGTCAACTCTGACCGTAGCGGCAAGAAGCGTTAGAGACCTCGTGTTTCACAGAGCTTGACACACTGTACTCAGTTTTAGCAATTTAGAAGTCAAATCGTGCTCTCTGGGTGCATTCCGGTGTATCTTCTAGCCACTGGGTAGATCTACAACTTGCAAGTCTGATATTCCAATGTAGAATACACTAGTTTCAGACTGTGTATCTATGATAGTTCACTGTACGTAGAGTGTTGCTGATGACAGGGTACTAGTAGTCAGTATTTTACGACTCCCCAGTGTACAAAATCATACATCGAAACTTTTCCTCCCCGGTTTTGGACGTTCTACGTGGACCGACGTTTTGAGAAATTGGTAACACCATGGCCGCACCAGTGGCACCGACCCTTTACGCACCCCCCCCCCCCCCCACACACACACACACCACACACACACACACACACACACACACACACACACACACCACACACACACACACACCACACACACACACACACACACAGTCACGCGGATTCAACAGACTGTGGTTGTCCCCTGCATGATGCTACGCCAGACACATTACGTTACTTAGTATTTACAAACACGTTTAGAAAAAGAGAAAAAATCATCTCCCGCGTAAACCTTATCTCATGCAATTCGAACAATTAAAACTAACTTGCCTTATAAAATTTTAATTTAATACTATCCGCTGATCTGCTACGCACATCTCTCAACTCCATTGTGGGACACTAGTACGCCAGCATCAGTGACAAGTGATTAGCGTGGCACTTGCGTAACCCATCAGTACGCAGAGCTCCCAGCAGTTCGTGCATACATGTAGCAGCGGTTGTATTGCAGTTCCAATCATTCAGTTCATGTTTACAACATTTGAGCGTCTCCATCGTCAACAATTATTTACAATCACAAAGGACGAAACAGTAATTCTGTCCGCAGATTGAGTGTAATTAAATTTACACAATAATGAATTATTTTTCTATTCATGATGAGGATCCATATCGGCATGCCTTCCGCGCTATAGCCTACACGGCTGTTAGCTGCACTTGGATCGCGGCAACTACTTAGTTTTCTGCACGTGAACCATGAAAAATCAATGCATGCTCATGCATGTTCATGCATAACCAGTCAGCTGGCCTGCTCGCCCACGCATTTGACAGGTAACAATTCCATCAAATTTGAGATATCGCTTCGTTCTAAGTCTCAAAACAGTTCTAAAGTCACCAAACCACGCTGGTAATCGATGGCTATTCAATGTTAACATCTTCAGGAAGACTTCAGCCGTTTACCGAGAGTTTGGGCATCGTTGCCGTTATTTTTCACGGTGTTCTTCTTCCTCCTGTCTGGAGCTGCAATTGCATCCTGGAATTATTTGAAAGGTATTTCGTGCGGGCTGTGGGGGGTTCCAACAGGCATAAACTGACATCGCTATAGGATAACTGGTAACTTTCACCCTTCAAGGAGGTAGAGCAATGAGAATTTTTTTGTGGCGGTCGTCCAATTTTTGTGGCGGTCGTGGCTGTATTTGTGCACTTCCAAGGCTTTCATTCTGCCTGATACTACTCTCTACTGTATGGGAATCGATGTTTAGGCACATGTAGCTGTCTTATTTGGTAGATCTGCTGTTTTCAATCACTTGGGACACTTTGTCTAGCCTATTTGTCTTTCGTTCGTGCCATCTATCAGTTTTGTGGGGTGCCTTGACCTGTATTTGTGAAGTTCTCGAGTAAAGACCCTAATTCTTGACTGGAGTCACGTCTTGAATTGAATTTGCTGGGTGAGCCCTCGTTCACGCAGTTGTACTTATCGTAATAGTCAATATCTGGTTGCTGGACGGACTAGCTGCTAGAATAGGGATGACCAAATGGTCCAAGTGTGTACTATAGTACTCGTACACGATTATTGTTTCCATCATCGTGAAATGAGCGTTGTGGAATTGCAGTCGTCTGCCTTTGGCACTGAGGACATGAGGAGAGTTGATTGTTACTTCTGCTCAGCATTGAAGCGATCATCAGCTCTCTTTGTTCTAATTATTGAGAGGACATACCGGCATCGCAATCAAGTAAAGATTAGGCAAACCTCGCCAACCTCCAAAGAGAGTCGAAGATATTTTCTCCAAATGCAAAGACGATCTTTGTGAGTTTGTGACTTGCATTTGCGTGCATACATGAGCAAGTCACGGACCACGGCACGTGCGCGGTTACCATGCCATCTCGAACCGACGCCATCTTTCTAAGTATTAGTTGCCGCTTCTTGACAGCCGCGCCTAGGCCATATAGCTCGAACCGGCCAGGGAGTCGTAAAAATTAATACTAATAGTATTAATTTTTACGACTCCCTGGCTCGAACACAGCAAAGTTAGTCTGGCCCGGTCACCATGGTCACGTCAAGACTCAAGACGACCACATACTGTGTGCAAGTACAAAACTGCTTCAGACAGTGTAGTCTATACAGTGGTGAAGTAAAAAGAAGAAAAAAGAAGGCAGTAAAACAGACATGGGCTGATTGATTGTTGCCATTGTTGTGACAAAGCCAGCTTTGAGTTTGAGTGTTACTAGTTACGCGCCAGACAAAGTGCCTTTGACTGTTGTCAAATTGCGAGGTATTGAAATCATGAACAGTAGCTGAGTTTGGAATCTACCAGTGTTTCTTCGCGGCTGAAAACCAGCAGCACACACTAGCATTGAATAGGACGAATAGAAACAAGGTAGTTTTATGCTGGTAGGTGTTGGTGTGTGAGCCATTCAGCGTCATGGCGAGCAAAGCGGAGAACAGCAGTCGTAATGACTATGAAGCAAAGTGCTCGAGTCAGGATAGCGGTGAGCCCGCAGCGAACGGGTCTGCCAGCACACAAGCAAGTCTTGCCACTGGTCGAGCAGATCAGGTAAGAAACATACCCGAGGCAGTGTGCAGGTTGAAAGAATTGTTAGTTCAGGAGTATGTAAGCGCTACGGTAGATATGGGAGAAGGCATGGTTGAAGAAGGGCTCAACGAACCGAGCGTTTCAGACGTGCAAGTGAGACTGATCATTTTGTCGAGACCCGAGCTCCGAAATCAGTTCAGCGAGGCGAGTTTTGATTCGATTGGCGACGTGTGGCGTGTGGAACATGTTTTCACACAGGCGGCCAGTAGCTTGAAGAATATCTCACTGGAAAGTCTCTTCGATCTTGATAAAGAGCGGATGGTGGAGTTCTCTAGCGGTGGTCGAACCTATCGCATCTTGGTTGTAGCCAGTGCAGGCTGCGGCAAAACATTCGCCTTGACCAAAGTGGCTCCATTGAAATGGGCCCGGAATGAAATGTGGACGTCGTTTGATCTGGTGGTAGCGCGAAAGCTGCGAAACAAGGAGGTGAGAGAAGCGACGAATATATGCTCTCTGCTTGGTGTGGAAGAGCAGGGAGAGTTTACGAGCGATGAGCGCAAGAGCATCGATGGCTTTGTACGCCAGCAAGCGCAGCGAGTGTGCTTAATATTAGATGGTCTTGACGAGATCCGCCTTAGTGAGTGTAGTGGCTTTGTTCGTGACGTCATCAACGGGTCCAAAGTGAAGGGGCTTCGTCTGGTAGTGACGTCACGGCCGTGCGTTGAGCTACTGAGCCTGTGTGATCAAAAGCAGTTTGATCGGCGAGTGGAACTTGTGGGTTTCCGGCAGGAGGATGTGGAGGAGTACATCGGGAAGGTGCTGAGATCAGCGGAAGAAGCATCGGCACTGGTAACGGCAGTACGGCGTGACCAGAACCTTGCTAGTATGATGGCTACACCATTCCTGGCCATGCAGACGTGCAAGATCTTCCACTGTCGTAAACGCACCCTGCCCCGTTGTCTCTCGGATATCTTTGGGATGATGACTATCCAAGTAGCAGAGCGTCACACCGGTGAGTCGTACAAGAATTGGAATGCGATCCCCGCTCGTGTGCAGTCCCTCATCCTGGATCTCGGAAAGTTCTCTTTCTGCATGCTGAACAAGCAGCAGCTGATATTCACTGATGCTGACCTGGAGGCACGATCGATTGCCAGGGAAGCAAAGTCACTGGGCCTTCTTGTACTGGCCGACAGCAGCAGCAGGGATACGGACCGGTTATGGATGTTCAGCCACCTGACATTACAAGAGTCTCTGGCTGCTCGCTATGTGGCTGTACACAAGACAACAACATTGGCACATGTTGTTCGCCTGGTTGAGTCACTGGGACCCGAAACCAGCCACTTACGCACGTTCTGGATGCTGCTGACGGCTCAGCTGAACGCGGAGAAGGCTGACTGCTTGATCAACGGTCTACTTACACGGAAAAAGTCAGGCAAGAGAGACTGGCAAAACTGGGATGGTGACGGTGAAGGTTTGGCTGACACGACGGCACTGAACATGTTCCCACTGGATATGCTCGAGGTCCTTAGCGCCGGATTAAACTACGAGGAAATCCATCGCCTATCGGAAGAGTTGTTATCTGACCGAATCGACGGACGAAGTGGCAAACAGTACGTCGAGAATCGCAGTCAATACGGTCGATCATCTACGGGTGAGGAATTCCTGAGTACAATGTTGCTGGCTTGGGTGGAACGCTGCCCGGACGCAACGCCTGCTACACTGGCTACTGCTCTCCGTCGTATGGGTAAAGAGGTACTCGCACAGTCTCTTACTGCTAACAAGCCAGATAAACCACTGCTACAGAACAGTCCCTTCCACAACGATATAACGGAGGAGCATCGCGGAAACTTGCATCTCGCCTTGCTGTGCTATGCTGAGTATTCTCATCACCATGGCAACGACACCCATCCCATGTCCAGTATTGCTGCTGCGTTGCAGTGCATGGAAGTACGGATCAGTGGTAGGTACCATCCTGCAGTGTTGCGTGCCTATGATGTAGCCATCAATGTCCACCACAGCAGTGTGAGGACTGTGAACATATACAACCTGGAGCCCCGTCACCCAGTGTCACTGCCAGCATCGTTACTCAAGTGTAGCAACATCACCAATCTCCGTATCCATGACTGTAGCTGGCAGTGGCAGGAGATTACCTCCGTTATCAAGTCATCACACCTACAACTGGAGAAGATCACAGTAGAAGAGTGCGATTTCAGTGATGCTTCCAGTAGCAGTGTAGCATCACACCCAGTCAACACCCAGCCAGCACAGGCTACAAGCAGTGGAGAGGTAACATTGTCAGAACAGGTCACCAGCATCCCCGCACTACTCCTGGCCAACGCACTTGCCGACGATCCCCGCCTCCAGGATTTCAACCTGGGGAGGTGTAACGGTATTGACGAAGAGGGTCTGCGCCTGATCTGCACAGCACTGCATAGTGCATCACGTCTGTCTGAATTAGGCATTCATCAGTCCCACTCGGTACACTGCATCAATGTCCTGACAGAAAACCTGCACACTGCCTGGCCCTGCATGACACAGCTAGTAGTCGGTGATGGCTTGGTGCCACAACAGCAGGATAGCCTAACCGACGATGACGTCACTGCATTCCTGCATGCCATCAACAGCCATACCTCACTTCAGAAACTAGCAATCTGGGACAGCCATACTGAAGTGGCCCCCGTGGACGCCTGCCAGCGTCTCTTCAGCAGCAGTTCCTATAGATCTTCCTTGCACACGATTCTCCACCTAGAACAGTGACAGTAGTACGGCAGCTATCTTGCCAGTACCGTCATCTAATGATGCATAACTAGACACATAGTCGGTAGTAATTCCACATTATCCTGAAACAGTCTACTAGTATGCAGTGACAGATTATGTAAGAGAAGAAAACAATTTAAAACTGTACCAATACAGATTGTGTACCACTAGCAGTACCAGTAGGCCTCGACTGTGTATTCTCTAGGCTTACAGCACATATACAGGTTTACTGTTAGATAACCCTAAGGCTTTCCAGGACATTTAGTCACCACGTCATTGTGGTGGTATTTCTGCTCTCCAACCCCCTTCACCACCCCCCCCCCCCCCCCTCTCGTTACCCACTAAGCATTTTATCCGGATCCCTCGCCATCCGGAAGAAAATAGCTGGTTACTTATTTACAGCATACTTGTGGCATCCAACATAATCGGTGTTCGGTTATCCGGTTCCCTCGCCTATCCGGATATCTTTGTGGAAAACGGATGTGTGCGATTAAACGAGTTCTGACTGTACCATGCTTTTCCACCCACCCTGAACTCCATTCTGCTATCCTCAATCCACATCCTGCTGCCTACTCGCATCATTATAAATTCTTGTCCACTCGTTTCCAACATAGAACATAGAACAAACAGTGTACTTTGGTATCAATGTACACATGTACACGTGACTGCCATCATCATTGTACATGACACTTATACTTTGTCATCCACTCGGTCAGTTGACTGACGTGTAGCCATTGAGACATCATTCATATTCCTGCATAGCCAGGTACCCAGTCTAGTCGCTTTGTAGATCTCAGTCTCACAATCCAGGCTAAAGAATATCTACATGATAGGTTTACCATCGAACTATTTACGTACATGTATACAATCATCCCCCCCCCCCCTCCCCACACCTCCCCCCCCCCATCCCCACACTTCCCCTCCCCCTTCCCCCCCCCCCCCCCATCCCCACATCTCCCCCTCCCCCCCCCCCGCCCCACACCTCCACTGCTTGTTGTTGCTTATTTAAAATTACTTCGCAGATTCTAACGGGCAAGTTACCCAATGACAAGAAAGCGAAGCTGCTCTTATGCTGTATACAGTCATCCACACAGCCCCCCCCCCCCACACACACACCTCCACTGCTGCTCTTTACTCTATACTAAAATCATCCACGCAGCCCCCCCACACACACACTGACACCTCCACTGCTGCCGCTCTTACCTAGTATGCTGTTGACAGATACACGTAGTAGTGTAGATATTTGTAATTCACAATGCACATATCCTTCAGGTCATTGAGCTATGATGATTGTGTGGATGGGTATTCTATGCACTGTGTGTTATGTTGGCGTGTGTCTGGACGGTGTGACCGGCCCATCAAAATTCTTTGTCCTTGGGCGGGGAGACCAGCATTGTTGAACTGTGGCTTTATCCTCGAATTTAGTGTGACAGCCCAGGCCCGTTCAAATACGCGGCATGTAAATGGCCTGTTGATGATGTGTATCATAATGATTGGGAGTGCATGCTGTGCCGTGGTGGAATAATTTCATGTTGGTTGTCCCATATGATTGTACTTGGCATGTACTAGTGTGATGTAGTGTATTTCACTGATCTTTCAAGTAGAGAGAAAGTGTACAAATCTCAGGCAGGTGATTTGGACCATGGCATGTTGCCCGTTGTTATCACAATTAGTAACACACTTCATTGCGTGTGTGTGTACTTGTGTAGGGGGGAAGGGGGGGGGGGGTGCATGGTTTCGTGTGTATGTGTGTGTGCCTATAGTTTACCGAATGGGGGGGGGGGGGGAGGCATGTGTGTGCGTGTGTGTAGTTTACTTACCGTAAAGTGGTGGATAAAAGCCGGGCTTATAAGCACATAAGCCGCTTTCTGCACCAGGCTTTAATGCAAACCATGCTTGTATGCACCAGTGATATTTTTGCCAGGCTTCTACGGGCGACACGCTTAGATCTACCACTGACTACCGGTATGGCGGCAGTTTTACTATGCACCGTACATAGCGCATGCACTCTTGACCCACCCGATCCGCGCGACAGGCATAATAATTATGCCTTTGACCCGTTTGATTTTCAGGCTTCTATCCGCGATGTGCTTGTATGCGAACCCGGCTTTTATCCGCGACTTTACGGTAATTAATGTCGGTTACATTCTATCCAGTGAGGGTGGTGGCATAGCTAGGATGCCCTGGAACAGTGACCTGTTTCTGAGATTCCATAGAAAATTGTTGTCAAAGTCCAGCACTACATACATGTAATACCAGTGTAAGTCCATAGAGTATGCAGTGAAAATAATTGACACAGTCCCACTATACTGCAATGTGAACCATCTGTCCAGTCAAGTGAGGATGTGTTGCTTCTCAGGTTCATACTAGTCTGCATGTCAAATTAGTGGAAGGTACTGGAAAGGTTGTCATGGTGATTGTAAAATCACCGCGTTACACAATCCACTTCTCTGGCCTACATTTCCTCATACGGTCAGACCTCGCTTATCCGGTCCTCTTTTATCCGGATCCCTCGCCATCCGGAAGAAAATCGTTGGTTACCGATTTACAGCATATGCCATGCATACATTCAGTATGTGTGTTTGATTATCCGGTTCCCTCGTCTATGCGGATATCTTTGTGGAAAACGTAGATGTAGGTGTGCAATTATGCGAGGTCTGGCTGTAGCGGGTAACAATGAACTGTGTGTGATTGCGCTGGACTTTCCTTTCCCATCAACACCTTGCTAAAGTATGTTTACAATGATCATACTGAAGTACCATTACAATACAGAATCAGAGAGACCCACGCCATGGTGCAAACGAGTTTCATTCACGGATACAATTTTACTGGAATTCGGAGCAGTGATGGGATATGCGACAGCATTTGGCCGTATTTTCCCTAACAAAAGCCCAGGTCTCCAATAATGACCAGGGGTGAGGGTGGTTTGAAATAATAACAGCACAGTCTCTAATACCGTATTTGTCGGAGTATAGTGCGCACCTTTGTATAACGCGCACCCCCAATCTTCATTGGGGGTGCGCACTTCAATCTGCATTGAAGTACATGCATTTCATATTCGGAGCATAGTGCGCACCTGCAATTTAGGGCCTAAAATAGCACATCTAAAGTGCGCACTATACTCCGGAAAATACGGTAGTGTATTGGCATCGGAAATATCGTTGACCGGATTGTCTAGGTAAACCAGCAGACAAGCAGCGGCACCCTCCCCCCCCCCCCCCCCCTCCCCCACACACGCACTCTGAAAAAGCCCCCAGCCCTCCTCCCCCCCCCCCGGCCAAACACGCACTCTGAAACAAGGCACATGACCCCGCCCCCGCACCGTTCGACAGCTTGCAAGACACACACACACACACACACACACGCATACACAACCAAGTATGAGTACTTCGAAGTAGAAAAGCAAAATTCTGGATCACACGATACAAGAACGATGTCAGAATGTGCCACAAACACATCAGATTGTAGCCATGTAAGAAACAAATAACGCGTGTGTGTGTGTTCTAACTACAGTGTTAACAGCAGCGACAATTGTTTGCCAGATTGACACCATCCATGATAATGACAAAAGTTATGATTATTATCATCCATGATATTATGACAAAATTTATGATTATTATCATCCAATGATATGAAAAGTGTAATATCATGAGGCCGCAGTAGCAAGAAGTCGACATGCACAACAAGAAGACAAGTCAATACTTTATACAATCAAATACATGATTGACCGGTGAAAGTCTGATTATACCTACCTACTGTGGAGGTGATGGCATAGCAGCAGGAAAACTTGAGCTATACGCTCGTGGAGCGTCGAGGTGAACAGTTCAGCATGTCAGACTGAGGTATGCCGACGGCATTATTGCCTTGTACAGGCATTTCCTTGCAACAGAGATTATAGCCTTGTACAGGCATTTGCTAGTAACAGAGATTATAGCCTTGTACAGGCATTTGCTAGTAACAGAGATTATAGCCTTGTACAGGCATTTGCTAGCAACAGAGATTATGCAGCAACAGAGATTATAGGCTTTATAGCCTTGAACGGGCACTTCCGAGCAATAGCTGAGAAAGTTCTGGCGTCCGGGGTAAGCAGAAAAGTTGCGCGAAGTGCCTCAGAATAGATATCGTGGACGGCTACTTATAACAGTCTCTGACGCATATATCCACAATTTACCCATGTAGACTGGTGGTGCATACATGCACAATTGAGTCAGACAATGCGCATGAAAGTGAGGATGACTGACCTGGCGTGAACAACCACGACAGCATCACTATGCTGGGTACAATGTTAATTAAAAAGCAATGCTGTGCTATATGATCAGCATGCTAAAGAATGCGACACGATAACATGTCCCGCAGCAGAACATGCAGAGGAAATTGATAGGTTCCGATAAGGCAACCAGTACGCTGATCTAGTCAATGGTATCTTGGGGGACTCGGAATCAACAAATGCCGGTTTGCAGCAAAATCAGACGACTACATAGGGTGGATACGACAAGGATAGCTTTGGTCAAGATGTTGCTGGTGCTGCCGACTGCGACGTCTGCAGGTGATGGTAATTTGGCAATATCTTCGTTAGGAAGTCCAGCTGTAATGTCGGTGCCTGTGAGTTGGACACGGTGGGAGAGAAAGAGCGAGAGAGAGAAAGAGAGAGAGAGAGAGAGAGAGAGAGAGAGAGAGAGAGAGAGCGAGAGAGAGAGAGCGAGAGAGAGAGAGAGCGAGAGAGAGAGAAAGAAAGAGAGAGAGCATCAACCTGAAGGTAAGTGGTGCTAGAGTGTCAAAATTGTGAAAAAAGGATATATTCTGTGCACCGAATAGCTACGTCCTTTGGAGATAATGGAGAGCAGAGCATACACTGCAGAAAACTCAAAGTCGAGACCAATCGTACATTTAAAAAAATTTCACGGTTCGCGTGAGACTCGGTTTATCTATTATAGAGGCCGAGTTTTCCGCATCCGTAGGAACGCCTCAACCCTTCAAGGCGCAGACACAGCTCCTAAAGCGGTGGGAGGTGAGTAGATCAGCTCACCAGCACGTGGTCAAAGACCGAAAATCCCATTCACTGCATCCATGTTTTCCTTGTGCCAGGCCACGAGTTGCCAATAATCGTACATGACCAGATACAAATTTCAAGCACTTTCAAGGCATTCAATGCTCTGTCCAGATCATGTGACCGTAAAGCTAAGCACAGCTAGAGTAAGAAAGGCACAACCAACAGTAATTTATTACTGATAGCGAGGAGGTAGCAAACAATAATGTGTTTTTCTTTATCTCAATCTCCTGCATGCAAGTACAAATAAGAACTGGCTCAAGAGGACACGGAGGGGTATGTGCGACACACATACACCCACACCCACACACAACTTACCGTGGGTTTATCACCTTGCACTCGACGCAGATTGCCCTCGCCAAAGACTACCGTATTCTCAGGCAGTGTCTCTTGACTGGTCAGATGACAGCATGCTCCCAGAACACAACCACTAGTCATGGCTGACTTCACACCAATATGACCTAGCATAAACATGACACACAGACACACACACACACACCACAGCACACCGATCTTGACCAATGCACATTCTAACAGTCGGGTATGATGGCAACACACCCAGAAACTGAGCCACTATATGGTGTAGTGCAGACACCAGCCAAACTAGCTGGTACACACGGATGGGCACACACACACACACACACACACATACACACACACACACACACACACACACACACACACACACACACACACATACACACACACAGACACGGTCCTGGTAAACACTGCCATTGCGGTCACGTGTCCCCTTGTGGGGCCGACAACATGGAAAGACGAGCGACGGCAGTCAGCTGAGAGAGAGGTGAGGCACTTAGGAACCATGTTCGAGAGAGCCATCTCTGGCAGCAACACACACACACACACGCGCGCGCGCAAGGACACAGACGTGGATGCCCGCGCATGCGCACGTATACGTACACACACACTCACATGCAGGCATGAGCAAATGTGCCTTGGTAATCTACTCACATTTCGACTCTAGCGTGTTGTTATCTCCAATGTGTAATGATTCACAACCTGACCAACAGCAACAAGTTAAGGTAATTGAATCGAGCACATACGGAGATGAAAATGAAATCCATCTCCACAGCGCCTCCAGTTACTAGTACGTACAAATATTCTACGGATCTCGGCATAATTTCATCACACACACACACACACACACACACCCCGACAATACTAGATCTCATCGATGTTGCCGTTAAAAGAAATGATGAACCATGTTCTCAGACACACACTCTACCATGCATTCAAACACACTCTACCATGCATTCAAGTAAAAAAAATCGATGGCTTCGCGTACCGGGCAGGTCAAGAACAAGGAGTCATACAACTCCCTGGTCAAGAACCACCTTTCCGCTTCCGTGGGACGCCACCACCCCATGATCAGGCGTCAGATGCGGCTCCTAAACATTCAAACACATTGTAAATTTGCACTGGGTGACTTCTGACCCAAGTAAATTATAAAGTTTACTCCAGGGAGTCGTAAAATACCGGTATTTTACGACTCCCTGGACCAGTTCCGATGACATTACTGTGTATTTGTACAGTCATGTGCATGCCTAGCGGCATTCACACCACTTCCAGGGCGTCACAGGCCATGCACCACTTCCAGGGCGTCATGGGCCATGCAAGTCCGGATTTCGCCTAGCATAATTGTACAAACATTGTGTGCGTCTGCATATCCAAGGGCTTGTCAATTTACTCGGATAGCATCACCAGTGTCTTCAAGGAGCACCTTAGACGGCGCAACGTTCGTGACGACGTAATAACGTCTGTCATTCCACGATGAGCATGGAACGTTACCAACGAATGTATGCATGTATGTGGCCTCATTGCTCCAAGGACAGGCATCGGCGAAAGCCAGCTGGTTTTGAGACGTAGAACAAATTTAGTGAATCGGGCGGTTCCCAGTACTTTGCACTCCACAGTATGTTATGCCTAAGATATTGTACTGTGGAGTTAACACTGATTTGTGTTAAAAGAGAAGAAACACATGAAAACGAGTCATGCAGCAACTATCCACGACTGTAACAAGATGATAAACAGTCAGAAAGTGCGATAATAGGGCACAAAACTGACAAGCTACTGAGACATTCAGCGACCCAAGACCTAGCTCTAACACATATGTTCTTCTCTTTTTTTACAAATGGCTCAGTATCCAAATGATTTGGGTTAATGTAAAATATACCCAACAAAACATAGGAAAGTGGGATGAGAGGATACGGCAACCCACTTCAAACACATTGCTGCTGCCAATTTCCATGGTGAGCTTGTCTTTCGGCGCAGTCTCTCCTTCAGCAACTGGTTGTGGGCTGAAGACACAGGAAGAGAAAGTGAATGAAAGACCGTCAAAAAGGGAGAAAGCGGGATATAAATGAGGGAAAGAAACCAACAGAGTATTGTGTACCTTCAAGTAGTCGAGCCTGATGGCAACATACCTACTCACTATTTGCTATGAGCACAGCCACACACACACACACACACACACACACACACACACACACACACACACACACACACACACACACATGTACAGCTCCCCCCCCCCCCCTCACACACACGGTGGTCAGAATTCGCAGAAGGAACAGTGCACCCACCGGTTATGGATGACGACTTGCTCCTCGATGATATTATTGTTGCCGATGACAATAGGTCCGGCCTCTCCATGTATGAGTGCTTTGGGATGTACGACGGTACCGGTTCCTATCGTCACATCACCTTTCAGGATGGCTTCTTTACAAACTACTGCACCTTTGGCAATTGTAGCATTCCTGAAAAACAGCCATAGAGACACACAGGCACACAGCGAGAGAGAGAGAGAGAGAGAGAGAGAGAGAGAGAGAGAGAGAGAGAGAGAGAGAGAGAGAGAGAGAGAGAGAGAGAGAGAGAGAGAGGAGAGAGAGAGAGAGAGAGAGAGAGAGATTCATGTGTTTTCAAAAAGCACACAAATGGGCTACTTTACACAAACACCGAAAACTGGTAACATATCTCTTTGTACAAGTACATGTATGTAGATGCAAAAACAAGGCAGGGGAACCCTCATGGCAAAGGCCTCAAACATGCACAGGTTGTGCTTCGAGAGCTCTGGGACCACTCCATCTCAGTGGTCCGTCTCCAGCAGATATATGCGATTACACGCCCACGGCATGGCACCATGCATAAAACCAACAGTACACACCCCCCCCCCCCCCATGCATAAAACCAACAGTACACACCCCCACCCATGCATAAAACCAACAGTACATACCCCCACCGTGCATAAAACCAACAGTACATACCCCCACCATGCATAAAACCAACAGTACATACCCCCACCATGCATAAAACCAACAGTACACACCCCCACCCATGCATAAAACCAACAGTACATACCCCCAACCATGCATAAAACCAACAGTACATACCCCCACCATGCATAAAACCAACAGTACACCCCCCCCACCATGCATAAAACCAACAGTACATACCCCCACCATGCATAAAACCAACAGTACATACCCCCACCATGCATAAAACCAACAGTACATACCCCCACCGTGCATAAAACCAACAGTACACACCCCCACCATGCATAAAACCAACAGTACATACCCCCACCATGCATAAAACCAACAGTACATACCCCACCATGCATAAAACCAACAGTACACACCCCCACCATGCATAAAACCAACAGTACATACCCCACCATGCATAAAACCAACAGTACATACCCCACCCATGCATAAAACCAACAGTACATACCCCCGCCCATGCATAAAACCAACAGTACATACCCCCACCCATGCATAAAACCAACAGTACATACCCCCACCATGCATAAAACCAACAGTACATACCCCCACCCATGCATAAAGCCAACAGAAAATACCCCCACCATGCATAAAACCAACAGTACATACCCCACCATGCATAAAACCAACAGTACACACCCCCACCATGCATAAAACCAACAGTACATACCCCACCATGCATAAAACCAACAGTACATACCCCCACCCATGCATAAAACCAACAGTACATACCCCCACCTATGCATAAAACCAACAGTACATACCCCCACCCATGCATAAAACCAACAGTACATACCCCCACCATGCATAAAACCAACAGTACATACCCCACCATGCATAAAACCAACAGTACATACCCCCACCCATGCATAAAACCAACAGTACATACCCCCACCTATGCATAAAACCAACAGTACATACCCCCGCCCATGCATAAAACCAACAGTACATACCCCCACCCATGCATAAAACCAACAGTACATACCCCCACCCATGCATAAAACCAACAGTACATACCCCCACCCATGCATAAAACCAACAGTACATACCCCACCATGCATAAAACCAACAGTACATACCCCCGCCCATGCATAAAACCAACAGTACATACCCCCACCCATGCATAAAACCAACAGTACATACCCCCACCATGCATAAAACCAACAGTACATACCCCCACCATGCATAAAACCAACAGTACATACCCCCACCCATGCATAAAACCAACAGTACATACCCCCACCCATGCATAAAACCAACAGTACATACCCCCACCCATGCATAAAACCAACAGTACATACCCCACCATGCATAAAACCAACAGTACATACCCCCACCCATGCATAAAACCAACAGTACATACCCACAACCATGCATAAAACCAACAGTACACCATTGAAGAACTTATTGCCTAGCATATGTTTCAAGAGGCGCTTTGCAACTAAGGTGAAAAAGATCTTCCCGGACGTGTTTGCTACAGCAATCGGTCGGAATTTCGAAGGAACATCAGACACCTCCCCCTTGGCCAGGAGTGTGATACACGCTACCTGCCACTGCCTTGGAATGATCTTGCTCTCCCAAACCCGCCCAAAAAGGGTGAAAGAATGGATTGAAGGGAGGGACAAAGCTTCCAAACTATGTAAGGTATCTTGTCAGGAATTTGCATCCCACATGAAATTGCGAAAATATGCGCACACAACGCCCACACACGCCCAAACACGCACACGTACGCACACACACACACACGTGCGCACATACACGCCATGTACCATGTATACGCCCGTCGCAAGAGAAGCACGCAAAATGCACTGGATGTGCGCCCACAGATTTTCTCTTTATAGCAATGATGGCGGATCTGATTCTGAATGAAACAGATCAAGACAAACGCCAGACAACTGTCTAATCCACACAACTGACGAAGCCATGTGAATCGACCACCAATGCACACCTGGTCTACACCACATGGAGTACATCTGCATAAACCGGCCAAGACAGTTACCTATGCACACCCTACACTTGCTGGGGTAAGCAGTATAGACAGTACGCTGCTTTAGAAACAGACACTAGATGCACAGGTACCTTGAAGTGAAATTAGAGTTACACACGCACACACACACACACACACACACACACACACAAACACCAGGGCCGGAGGCAGCTCCCATGGAGCGGTGCGACCAAGTGCCTTCCTGAAGGGGGTGTGGGGTCCTCCCCCAGAAAATTCTAGGAATTTAGAAGGCAAATCGTGCTCTCTGGGCACATTTCGGTGTATCTTCTAGCCCCTGGGTAGATCTACAACTTGCAAGTCTGATATTCCAATGCAGAATACACTAGTTTCAGACTGTGCATCTATGATAGTTCACTGTACGTAGAGTGTTGCTGATGAAAGGGTACTAGAAGTCAGTATTTTACGACTCCCCAGTGTACAAAATCATACATCGAAACTTTTCCTCCCCGGTTTTGGACGTTCCAAGTGGACCGGCGTTTTGAGAAATTGGTAACACCATGGCCGCACCAGTGGCACCGACCCTTTACGCACCCCCCCCCCCCCCCACACACACACACACACACACCACACACCACACACACACACACACACACACAGTCACGCGGATTCAACAGACTGTGGTTGTCCCCTGCATGATGCTACGCCAGACACATTACGTTACTTAGTATTTACAAACACGTTTAGAAAAAGAGAAAAAATCATCTCCCGCGTAAACCTTATCTCATTCAATTCCAACAATTAAAACTAACTTGCCTTATAAAATTTTAATTTAATACTATCCGCTGATCTGCTACGCACATCTCTCAACTCCATTGTGGGACACTAGTACGCCAGCATCAGTGACAAGTGATTAGCGTGGCACTTGCGTAACCCATCAGTACGCAGAGCTCCCAGCAGTGCGTGCATACATGTAGCAGCGGTTGTATTGCAGTTCCAATCATTCAGTTCATGTTTACAACATTTGAGCGTCTCCATCGTCAACAATTATTTACAATCACAAAGGACGAAACAGTAATTCTGTCCGCAGATTGAGTGTAATTAAATTTACACAATAATGAATTATTTTTCTATTCATGAGGATCCATATCGGCATGCCTTCCGCGCTATAGCATAGGCGCTAGGCCATAGGCATAGGCTCGAACCGGCCAGGGAGTCGTAAAAATTAATAGTATTAATTTTTACGACTCCCTGGCTCGAACACAGCAAAGTTAGTCTGGCCCAGTCACCATGGTCACGTCAAGACTCAAGACATTACTGTGTGCAAGTACAAAACTGCTTCAGACATTGTATTTGTAGTCTATACAGTGGTGAAGTAAAAAGAAGAAAAAAGAAGGCAGTAAAACAGACATGGGCTGATTGTTGCCATTGTTGTGACAAAGCCAGCTTTGAGTTTGAGTGTTACTAGTTACGCGCCAGACAAAGTGCCTTTGACTGTTGTCAAATTGCGAGGTATTGAAATAACAGTAGCTGAGTTTGGAATCTACCAGTGTTTCTTCGCGGCTGAAAACCAGCAGCACACACTAGTATTGGATAGGACGAATAGAAACAAGGTAGTTTTACGATTGTAGGCGTTGGTGTGTGAGCCATTCAGCGTCATGGCGAGCAAAGCGGAGAACAGCAGTCGTAATGACTACGAAGCAAAGTGCTCGAGTCAGGATAGCGGTGAGCCCGCAGCGAACGGGTCTGCCAGCACACAAGCAAGTCTTGCCACTGGTCGAGCAGATCAGGTAAGAAACATACCCGAGGCAGTGTGCAGGTTGAAAGAATTGTTAGTTCAGGAGTATGTAAGCGCTACGGTAGATATGGGAGAAGGCATGGTTGAAGAAGGGCTCAACGAACCGAGCGTTTCAGACGTGCAAGTGAGACTGATCATTTTGTCGAGACCCGAGCTCCGAAATCAGTTCAGCGAGGCGAGTTTTGATTCGATTGGCGACGTGTGGCGTGTGGAACATGTTTTCACACAGGCGGCCAGTAGCTTGAAGAATATCTCACTGGAAAGTCTCTTCGATCTTGATAAAGAGCGGATGGTGGAGTTCTCTAGCGGTGGTCGAACCTATCGCATCTTGGTTGTAGCCAGTGCAGGCTGCGGCAAAACATTCGCCTTGACCAAAGTGGCTCCATTGAAATGGGCCCGGAATGAAATGTGGACGTCGTTTGATCTGGTGGTAGCGCGAAAGCTGCGAAACAAGGAGGTGAGAGAAGCGACGAATATATGCTCTCTGCTTGGTGTGGAAGAGCAGGGAGAGTTTACGAGCGATGAGCGCAAGAGCATCGATGGCTTTGTACGCCAGCAAGCGCAGCGAGTGTGCTTAATATTAGATGGTCTTGACGAGATCCGCCTTAGTGAGTGTAGTGGCTTTGTTCGTGACGTCATCAACGGGTCCAAAGTGAAGGGGCTTCGTCTGGTAGTGACGTCACGGCCGTGCGTTGAGCTACTGAGCCTGTGTGATCAAAAGCAGTTTGATCGGCG